CTAAAGAAATAAGTATGGATAAAGACTAAATAACCTATGATAATAACTAATACTTCTAGAAATTTATTCGAAAAAGAAGCTCTAGATATTGTGGGCTGGTTATCCAAAACCAAAGACGAAAATGAATGGACCAAATCTGCAGTTACAGCGTAATTCGGATCAAATACCCTTAGCTCCACATCTATGTGACGCGAAAGGGGGAAGACTTTTGTAGCTAAAGGATCCAAAAACCCTGAAAATATGGATCTCTCCGCATACATAAACTTTAAATTTGCTTATGCTGACCTACCTACTGCACTAAATTTACGGGTAGCCACTACGTATGCTCGGTGTGGTCTAAAATACACTTACATAACTGTAGCTTGTCGTGGGACAAGATTATCCAAATCACTGAAAAAATAGAAACGGCGAACCACAAAAAGAAGCTCAAATGCATTACTAAATTTACGTACCAAAATACATACAGAAAAAGAATCCAGCTACACTCAAAACTCTAGACACCAAGGAAAAAAAGCCCACTTCATGCGATTTTATAATAATCCACAAAAGAGTAGTGCACAACCCCAATATACCGCTTTCCTTCAGAACACGTACTCAGCGAACTGCTCCCGGGACTTTTTTTAAAAGCCTTAATATCAATTTTGGAAAGGGGTGATAGAAAAAGGCTCGCAGAAATACAAATTTTATGTTTTACAATGACATTTATGAGCGTTACAAACCCTTATTATAGTACTGGTCCTGGTAAATGTTTTGTTAACTGTTTGTTCCTCACAACAGGGTCCCTCAGTGTTTTATCCATACCTTGAGACTCTCTGGGCTAATGTGGGTTAATAAACAAATATGAATCAAAGATTAACAAGAAATAACTAACCTTAGTACGTAAATTGATAAATTATACTGTCAACTAGGTAAATAAGTTCTTAACACTCAGCAAACTGTTCCCAGACCTTTATTTTTATTTAAACGCCCTAGTATCAGCTTTGGGAGGGGTTCATAATTTTAGTAGACTAAGATAACCAACAAATTTTTTCCTGTTCATTCCTTAAAAATTTTATGTTAAAAGTAACTTGAGCAAGGAGTAACAAGCATCTGAAAAGTGGTGAATCATCTGCAAGTTACTCGTACACAATAATAATTCATGAAATTTCTGATTTCCTGAAGTTCCACAAGCCAAATCTCTCTATAACGACTAGCAGCGAAAAACATGTTGACTAAAGTTTTACTAAAATTTTTTATTATTTAAGCATCACTTAAAATCGTTACACACCAATTGTTTATTTACCTTAGTGTTAACTGAATTGTGAAGCGACTTTTACCGCTCTTTTTGCAACGAGCTCAATCGAACAAACGAACGCTGTTTAGCATTAGTAAATATAAATAATATTCTATATTTATGTTAATACTAAGTTATACTAAATTTCTGCAAAATTTAGATGTAAGAAGTAAAGTAAGGGCATGAGCAAATGAATCACCTTCTTTTCTTTTGACGCAGAAAAGAGAGTAAGCCAGATGTGGCTAATAGCGATTTCTGAGTAGCTTAACTAGAGCAGTTCTAGCCAATTTGATTTTAGGCTATTGTTATTATTGCAAGATCTTTCCGTGGCAAGCTTTTCTACGTCATCATCGAATCAGCACGTGACTGAGGTCTGCTACACTTTATAAAAAGGCCTAGAGCCCCTCAAAAAATCAGGTAATTTTTGTTTTTACCCTTGAACGGCTGACTAAATAGTTAAAACTCGCCTCTACTATCACGCATTTTCCCACAAGCGTGGTATATTTTTAATCGGACGCCACTTGCCTCGATTTACACTGGTTTGCCATGTTCTCTGATTTTATTCTAAAATAAAAGTAAGTGTTTGAAGTTTAAACGACTTTTTTCCCGTTTTTTTTTTGTTTTCAGCGTGGGTATCGAATGAAATGCGGATACCTTTACTCGCTATAGTAGTGGTACCTATGTAATACCAGGTGGTCAAAAATTTGTTAAATTATGTGTAAAAACTAGAATGAATACCATTGCTAGTGTTGGTATACGTAGATTCTAGTTGGGTCACGAGTAAAAATATTATCGGCCCCCCTACGTAACCCCTAGAAACAATACCTTTGCTCGTAATGTTACTAGTAGTTTCTAGGCTGCAAACGGTCACCTATTTGACACGATACTCCGGGTGACTTCAACAAACGTTAGGCGCGCTTCAAGTGAGTGCATTGAGATACTACACAACAACTGTGCCGCCTTTCGCGAATACCCCCTTTTGTTTAATTTAACCACATTCTAGCCCTGCGTTCAAACTACACGCCCAGTGTAAGTCCTGATTTATTAAATGCTAGCTGAGACTAAGAAATTATTTGTAGCGCCAACGAAAGAATAGCATACGTTGAAGTCTTTCAAGAATGATAAAGTTACTTGTAGTATAATGTGAGTTGGTGTTCTTTTGTCGTATTTATTACTGATGCAGTATAACTACGGTATGTGCACCGTTTCTACTCCGTGCAGACTTCTTCTACATGCAGTATTTTTAATATGAACAGTATTCTACTCAAATTATTTATATAAAAAGACATGATTTTGTTCTTAAAAACTAAGAATATCTACATAAACTTTAGTTATTACCATAACAAAATGTTAGGTAAGTTTAACGAATTCAATTAATATTTTTTAAGAAATTTTTAAAGCTCTTATTATGTGGCAAAAAATGGTATTCATTTATTGTTAGACTTGCAAAATCCTGGAGTAAAAATTAAAAAAAAAATGAGCTTTGTTTTGTTTTTTGGTGCAGCTCACTTTTTGTATGAGACTCATATTATACTGTATAAGACTCATACATTGAAAAAGTCAAACTGGGTAAAATTGACTTTTTACAAGTACTTTACACAACTTTTGAATTAAAAAGATTGAAATAAAGAATAAATATTATAGTTTGCTTACTGACGTGCATCAATGTATTTAGTGTAACATTGGCATGAAGTACAAGTTAAAAGTAAATATCACTTAGCTTATTTTTTAAATATATTAGTAGTAGACGTTATATTACCACAAGTGTTGTACAAAAAGTAAGCTGCATCAAAAAATCAAGCAAAACTTAACTATTTTTCCCCTGATTTTAGAACTTTTCAAAGCTAAAAATTAATAAATACAATTTATTTTAACTTTATGAAGGCTTTAAAAATTTATAAAAAAGTATTTATTGCAAACATTAAGGTTACCTTATTTTTAATTTTTGTAAAAATGAATTGAATGGGCTTACTTTTATAAATTAGTTCGAATACCTTGTTTTAGCACGACAATGACAGACAAATGTACTGTTAAATGATTGATATAGTGAACTACACTAAAACTGTTTCCAAAGTAAAAGACAGCTCACGTACAACTCAAACTTTTGTTGTTGATATCGGGTAGGGTAAGTAAGTAATATTGTACTTAGCAACGAACAGTATGTGCTACGCCACCACCGTAGTAGGGCATATTTGTTGACATAGAGCTGTGGTCTGATTGCAGTTAAACGTTTAAACTCTTAGAAAAAAATCAAAAAGTCTTTTTTTTAAAGTTGCTATACCAACATCAAAAAATCTGCTCTTTTAAATAATACCGTTAAAAAGTATTTGAACAATATATCTTTTAAGATATAACTTTTTTTTTGTCAGTTAGCCACTGTTTGTAAAAAATAATCACCTTCTTACAAAGTTAAGAAAAAATGTGATTTAAAATGACATTTTACTATTTTATTTAAATAAATCATACGGTTGGAATCGTGTGCTGAAAAATAAGTATTTTGGCTGTGAAATTCCAGGCTGGCTGACTTAACGTTACATACTTCAGGCGTATAATTATTACTAGTTATGCTTACTTCACCTTCTTTATAACACTTAAAAAATAAGCTAAAAGTTACTTTAAGAAGTCATTATTCTAAAGACAATTAAGGTGAATGCACCAATTCTTGGCAACAAAAAAATTGGTCCCAAAGACTGGCCACAATCACAATTTTACAATTTGCACGAATTTTCGCAGCTGTGAAAAATTGTTTTATTAATATTCACGCTTAAAAATGATATGGCTTTTATCTTTAGTAGTTATCTCAATGATACTTTAACCCAGAAATTAGAAATAAATGCTTCAAGAAAGCGACTTTGGTTGGTTGACCAGGCTTTAGAAGATCTGTCAACGTAACCTCACTTTGAGTGTCCTAATAACTGGCCAATGTTAATTGCGTGCAATTCATACGACTGGACAGTTATTGGGACTTAAAGTTTCGGTCACAGGGACGAGTTTTTCCTTCAGTGACCAAGAATTGGGAAATTTTATCATGTCCAATAATAAACAAAAGCTTTCTTTCTGTGCATGCAAAAATTTTTTTTCTTTGGTACAGCTTAAAATAGTGTTATAACTATGAAACAGTACCCATCAGGACTTAAAATTTTATTTGAGATTTTAATGAAGATGACCAATGTTTGGGACATTTACCTAAGGGTTTTAATACAAAACTTTATATCTAGGTATCCAACACCTTTGACAAGTATACTAAAAGCGAACTAAAATGACTATTAAAATAATTTTAAATGTGTCCACTTAAACTCAAACTTTTTAAATAAAAATATTATGTACTGAGAAAACTGCACTTCTCTATTTGTACGATGTCTATTAGACTGTAATCATAAATATTGTGATCTTGGTTACATTCAAATTCATTTCTAAGTATTTGTAATTTAAAGTGTGCTGAAAATTACTAAATAGTTTTGAAAAAACTGTTTCTAGTTGTAATTTGTAAAAAATGATTACCTACAAAATGACAAGCATAAAATTTTAAAAATATAAGGATACAAGAAATGACTCCTCTTGATGGTTAAAATTTTTGTTCTGATTTGTAGAGCTACGATTGTTTTCTTATGCGTATTCATAGCTTACTTTAAGAGATCTCTTAGTAACTTTTTTTTTAAGATTATAGAGAAACTTATATTGAGAAGACATGCACTTATCTATAAATAACGAACGATCTTTATTTCAGGTAAAGCACTGACTCAACTGGACATTTCTCAAAATGTTCTTATACAAATTCCATCATCAGCACTTAAAACTTTGCACAACCTTTTAATTTTAAACATAAATCGTAATAAAATTAGTGTTATCCATAAAAAAGCATTTGAGGGATTAGATACTCTAGAAATTTTAACACTATATGAAAATAGAATTTCTCACATGGATTCTGATGCATTTCGGGGGCTTGATAAGTAAGTATCAAAGTACCTTACGTACCATTCATAATTGTAAAATAATACCTATTATACTCTGAATGAATTATGTGACAAATAAATAACGTGGGACAAAGTAATACTAAGTAGATTGATTTCTGCTGATAGCTATTAATTGACTTTTAACTATAGTAAAAGTTCTGAATACTGCAATAAAATACTTAAAATAAATTTTAAACTTGTACACGCATATGCTTACGACATCTTTTTTCATGATATGACAGTATTACAGCTTGTGGTGTCCGCATCTCTTGTTAATATGTACAGGTTGAAAATGCAAGAGTATGTCAAGAGCTTAGTTAGAACTATGATAGAGACCGTGCTTTATGTTTTTGCGAGCATGACTGTGTGTGTTACATAACTGTTTACTCTAGTAAATTAGGAATACAAGACTATATTATGAATAAATAGAAAATAACTAGTAAATTTACACTCATCTTTTAACAAAAAATTGAGCCAACCTTTAATTCTCTACACAAGTAAGAACTATAGTAACTATAGTATTAAAAAAATCAATTAAATTTTTTTAAAGTTATGATGTAACCATAAGACAAAAAGAAAATGCATTTAGTTTCAACTAGAAAAGATAAATAGTAATAGAAGTTGACAAAGATCAGTACAAAGTGACCATCGAGTATACTGTTAGAGGCTGATAACTATAAATAGTTAAAAATAAGCGTTAACAACAGCTAACGATATTTTTGGACATGTTCATTTTCATCAATAACTTTCAATACTCTTTTAGTTTAGAGTAGGGTGTTTCAAATTATTTCGTTGTTTGTACGTAAGAGGGTACAACTTTAATGATTTATCGAAGGAAAGGTCTGACGTTAAGTTACTTTCATTTCTTATGCATTTTCTTCTTGGCTCTAAGTTTATGGACCTTCCTTATTTTTCTTTTAAATGAAGCTGGATAATTTTTATGCGTATAATTCTTTATGACACTTTGCTAAAACCAACTCATCTATTATATCTTTTTCAAACAAAAAAATCATATATCTTAGTAACTATGTCATAAATTTAATTTTTTTATCGACTGATAAGATGAAACAGCTTAAACTCCTGAAATTTATATTGAAAGGTCCTTATAAAACGTAAGTGTTCAGTGTTATCTGAACGTCTAGGAAGAAAAAATTAAAAATGGTATGGCCAAGATCTTGAGCCGTAATAGGCAATTACGTTGTGGCCCACAGCAGCGTTATCTCAACAAAAGTTCTTTGTCATGCATATGATGGTGTCTTCTCATAAGCGCATTACATTTTTTCATGTCAAACCAGTAAAACAAGAGATTTTAATTCAATTGCTTGAAAAGTGTATTTTAAAAAAATTATAACAATCAAAACTGAAGTGTTAAGAACTAATTTTTTTTACGAAAACTTATCTTTACGTTCTGACTCTTACACGTTTAAGTTAAAAATAGCTATTTTAAGTAGAAAAAATTTTTCTTGCAATTAAAAAAAACTTTAATTTTTTCAACATTCAGTTGTAATACTTTGGAATCTTTTACGATCCAATGTTGAAAATATGTTATTTATCATAATAGGACAAATGTTTGCTAGTAAGCCATTCTGATCAAATATTTCTACTTGTAGAGACAAAGCTTACAATGTGAAAATTCCAATAAAAGAATCATTTTTATATAACATTTTTTCTCACTTTACTTATCTCAAGCGATTGATATTACACTTCATCTTGATCCTAAGAAGTCAGATAAGCATACAAAGAGTACTCGCTTTTGTTGGCCCGTTGACCTCTTGTATTAAAAAATATACATAAAAAGTTCTGATCAACATTGTGTATTATAAAAACTAAAGTACAGCTGACTACTAATTATAAGTTATAAAGGTAATGCTAGTGTACCAAGCAATTTACTGGTACCCTACTGAAAAATATTTTGTAATTACATTTGTAGTTCCATGTGTGATTACACTTGGAAATCCATTTGTAACTCTACTTGGAATTCCACTTGGAATGAAACTTGGGGTTTTGGCATGGAAATTCCAAGTGTAATTCCAAGTGCTATTCCAAGTGTCATTCCAAGTGTCATTCCATTTGGAGTTCCATATGGATTTACAAATTATTTTCTTAATTAATTTATCATGTCAGTTTCATTTTTTTTGTATCATTAACAAATACGTAATAAATTAGATGTCGGAAATATACTTATTTTATTAATTTAGATAATCTACATAGCAGTACAACCAATGTATTGCATCATTTGTTCTTTAATTTTTTATTGATGTATAATAGTAATGTAGTAAAAAAAATGTCTATAAAATTTTTGAGAGCGAGTTTTTTTGACGAATTTTTTTTGCGCAATACTTAAACGGCCGAATACACTTATTGAATTAAAATAACACAATTGTTCTGTGCAAGTAGGTCTCCATCAATTACTGCCCAATTTCGGAAGCTGCTTAGTTGCAATAAGGATTATGCGAGAAACATAACACTGGAATTTCTTAGATTTTCGGATCACAGCGTTATTTTGATTGTTACTTCAGAATCTAATTAGAATTATAGATTAAAAAAGTGTAATTCTTTATCATTTTAACAATTGTCTTATACTGAATTTGAAAAGTAAATAATCTCAAACGATACCACAAACTATTAAAAATACCAACTCTCACGTGATTTGTTTCTAACCATTCGAGGCATTAATCATAATTTTGATTTTTGTGCAATATAATCACAAACTAAAAAAATTTCAAAGGGTATTAGAAATAATACTGCATTAGCAAAATAGTATTGTAGAGAATCCGCAAGTTACTGTGAATAAACTGTTTCATATATTACCTAGTTCAATAAATACTGATTACGAAAAATAAAATTTTTCATGCACCTTATCGTGGATTTTTAACGAAATAATCTCTTTACAACTATATACCGATTTAGCTTAACGTATAAATTATATTTTTTTTATAGACGCTCTCTAACTTGTATTTTTTGTACAATGTACTGGAGATCTTGGAATTACTTTAAAGCACAATGTTTACTCGCTTTAAATATTCCTTGCTATACGTACAGATACTTATAATTTTACTCACATTGGAACAATCTACATATTTTAAAACAAAAAAATTTTATATTGTCTTTTTACTGATTATGATTATTCAAATTGCATACCACATAATTCCGTTCGCAAGAAGGAATATTAATCGTTAAATAATATTTCTTTATACTCAAATACAAAACACATAACTGCACAATGTAAAAAGTAGATAACAAAATTTAAATTTAAATTTTTAGAACACTTCTTCGCACAACTTATTGCGCAATTCCTTGACCGTATGGGTTATAGTTTCTCTTATTCTGGATCGTAACGCACCTTGTACCTCACAACTCTTATACTTGTCTTTGGTAAAATGTTTCACAAGTGCTGAAAACATGTTTTCCTGAACATCCGTTTTATAATTAGAACTGCACTTTTATGGGTAATGAAACTAACATATTTTTAAATTCTTTAAACTTCTTTGGAGTCAGTCTTTACCTCGGACTTCTATTTTCAATTTGAATGCAAATTTTTTTTTTGCTAATACAGTGGTTGATAAGTTGTTCTTTAGTCCAGTAAGTACACAACATTTCTCTAACAAAAGTGCCAAACTGTCTTTTTTAAATGAAGTTATAAAAATCCACGTCTATCATTTTTGAATAACCAACGTAGATTTACAAATAATAATTTTATTATTAGTAGTAGCAATAATATAAAATAAATTTTATCTACACAAATACTACATTTAAACAGTTGCATGCTTGTTAACTAATTTGATCACTCTACGCACATTATTTTACTAATAAGAACGTACACACACAATCTACCGTCTCGCCAATCATAGTAGTAATACAATAGCTTCATATTTGTACTGCATTATTGCAATGTCAACCAATTAACTACTTTCCTACCTTTTCTCCATAAACGTTGCCAATAATGTGACCTCCTACATCCACTGTTTGCACGTTGGGTTCTATAACAGAAGCATCTGTGTCTGACGTATTACTGTCATTGTTATTTACTTGATCTTTTATTCTGAAAATTCTGTGATTGCTAATTATTCTTCTCCTTCTTATTACATCTCCTCCTCTTCTTGGTGTATTAACAATAGCTATGAGCATATTTGAGAAATGGTTTAAAATAAATAGATAAAATTACTATCAAGAAATTGTTCTTCAGTGTATGATATGATCAAATAACGTACGTGAATGTACCTATTCTGGAGTTTCCTTTCTCTCATGATTATTTTTAATATCATTTGTTAAATTCCTTTGACTCACATTAGAATCATTCTGAATGTCATAATTATTAAGCAGATCTCCTGCATGTACGTTGTCAACGTTACTTTTTTGCAAGTGTTGTTGATTTAAAATATTGTTTGACAGTCTTTTGTTCCGTATAGGTGATAAGGCAGCAAAAGCATCTCTAACTATTGCAGATGAAGCACTTCTGTTGCTCCTTTCAGATATACCAAGGTCTACAATTTAGGTAAAAAAACTAATTGGAACAACTATTTCGTTGTTCGATAAAAATATTTTTAGTACTATACCATTATTGCGAGGATCACTATTTTCACTAGACTCTCTTGAAAATTCAATTATATTGCTTTTTCTGCCGCAACTGGGACGAGTATTTTGTGTTTCCTCTGATTCACTACTGCTTTTTTCTTCAGCTTGTCTCTGTTTCAAAAACTTTTTAAGTTCTTTACCCCCTTGTTTAGTTTTAGCAATTTTCTTTAGTGCGATGAATTTCTTCTGGAAAAAAGAATAATAAATGTATACTTCAGTTTTTTAAGTACATAAGCTGTAAAAGAAAAATGAATGTATTTAATAAAAGCATGATCGACTAAAAATGACAATTGAAGACAACAAGTACCTCCTGTATAAATTGTTAAAATCCACAAAAATCAGTACAAAAAAAATTAAGTTTACCTTAGCAGTTTTATTTCTCTGTTTTTTGATGCTTGTGTTCAGCTGTAACAGAGCATCAC